CCTGGTATGTATGTATAATAATAATAATATTTAGAAGAGGCCATTAATATAAGGGGAAAAGGGAACTCAGAAGTTGGGGGAGAAGGAGAGGTGGAAGTTATGCAAAGAAAGAACTCATGTGTGAAATTCTCCAAAAACATTTTTTTTTAATGTGCACTGGGAGTTGACCCTTGATGTTGCTTGTATTTCTATTGCTGTGATGAAACACCATGACTGAAAGCAACTTGGGGAGGAAAGGGTTTATTTCATTAAAATGTCCTGTAGCCCAACATAAAAGGAAGTCCAGAAGGAACACTGCTTACTGACTTGCTCCCCTGGCTTGCTTAGTCTGCTTTCTTACACACCAGAGACACCTGTCCAAGTGTGGTTATTAATCAAGAAAACGAACCCCCAGATTTGCCCACAGGCCAGTTCAATGGAGGCAATTCCTCAACTATGGTTTCCCATTCCAAGTGACTGGAGTTTGTGTCAAATTGATAAAAATCTACCCAGTGCAGTTTTGTTCCAAGTGACTGGAGTTTGTGTCAAATTGATAAAAATCTACCCAGTGCACCTTTGTTCCTATTTCCCTCATTTATTGCTTCTTAGTAATAAATATAACTATATGATATGCAAGTACTGCTGTAAGGTCCTGTGTGTGCGCATGGGGTAGACACAGATGCACAGATGGTGATGATTTGAGCCCTTTTGAAGAGGTTCAAAGACTCACAGGGACCATAGGCAAAGGGATTCCATAAGTTCATTCTCATGCTCAATATGGAAGATGCCTCTGTTCATGGCTTCTTCGCCTCTGTGATTTTAGGTATCTGCAATAGTAGCTCAGCGAAAGAAGTCTCTCAGGAATACAAAGAGTAGACAGGCACCCTGTGTCTCCTCTGATCCTGCAGATAACTGGAAGTGAACAGCAGTCTGTTGCCCCATGAGGGGATTCTCTTTGCCCCTAGAGGGCCGCAGTGAGCCAGTCCCCGCTGCTGCTACTCACTTCCGTCTTCTGCTCTTTTCTATCTACCATGCATCCAGCCACTAGTTCTCTAGCCTTAACTTAGAATGTGGCACATTCATCACAAGGAACAAAGATGTAGCTTTTGACATGGGAATTGGGGTGTGACATGTCAAGAAGTGGCTGGAAGGCCCCTGGCATTGGCCTGGAACAGTGTCCATGGAACCTTCCTACACAAAAGGTGGTGGGGTGTGAGCATCTGCCTCTGTGGGAGTATGAGCTTGTTTTCTCCCAGGCTCCCAAGGGGAGAGGAGCTGACCTCTGACACAGAATCAGGGAGAAATCAGATCAAGACACAATACTTAAGATTAACCAAGACTTCCCAGGGCTGGGCAGTGCAATTGGTGTTGGAGCCAGCGGGTCCTGCACGATCTGAGGAATGGACACAGATTTCCTGGGTGATTTTCCCTTCTGTAACCAGTAACTGTAGAATCTACCATGAAGAGGTGTTGTCAGGACTACATGGGAGAACAGCACACTGCTTCTTGTTGAGTGTGTCTGGGATCGTCACTGTCACCGTCATGGTCACCACCATCCTCTTCATCTCACCACATGGTCACCGTGATAATGGCAGCAATGATGGTCATGTTGTTGACGGTTGTGAGAGGATGATGCTGATAGTGTTGGTAATGAAGAGAATTTGAGTGACACCAATGACAGCTGTGATTGTCATCACCACCACTAAAGTCTAAAAGCATATCATCATCAATATCACACTACCATCACCATCATCGCCAGCATCCCACCATCGTGACCACCACCATCACCATCATCACCATCATCACCACCATCACCACCATCA